CCCTCCCCCCGTCCCCCTCCCCTCCGGAACCAAATCGACGAAAAATATGAAACACCCCGGATTTGGCAGGGCGCAGAACGGTCATAAGGCTGAAAGAAAAAGAAAAAAGAAAAAAAAATTACTGTGTTTTTCCACACGCCCGGTTGACCTGGGCGTCGGACCTGCCCGGGCGTCATGCCTGGGTGCCCGGCCGGGCGTAACGGGCCGGGCGGGGAAATCTTCCTAGGATCTTACATCACATTCAACAATTCAATCAAAGCTGGTTTGGGGGGAACCAGGGACGGAGAATGGGGGAGGTAAAGTGGGAAAGAGGACAAACAGCTGATCGAAAGGATCAAGATTATCAAGATGATCAAGATGTTCAAGAGAAGCCGCAAAGGAATGATCACTTGGTTTTCAAAGATAGGACCACTGTTGATCCTTCAATTCCCTTGAGACCTCTGGCGGACTTCCTGGATCTCTTTCCTCCAGCCCATTCGTGTCTAGTTCCCAGGTCCCGGTATGGAATCTATGGATATGATTGAATGAGGGTAAGAATGTAAGATCTTAACCTGGTTAATCTAGTTTGGGAACGGGGGGGGACTAGTGCTAGGTTGTCATGCCCTTCCAGTGCCTACACAAGGTGAAGAGGCACATGCAGTCTCTCACCCCAAGTTGTTTCCTAGGACTGGGCTTGTTCAAAGATTGTGAAGGCAGATTTTGATGATGTAGCCTGTAGTTTTCCTCTGAAATACCTTGGATTAACGTCATCATCATCATCTTCATCAGTCGCATCTTCATACTCTTCAGTAGCATCATAAGGGACGTTGGGCCCCGTTCTCAGCAACTTGCAGCAAGTGCTGATTCATTCTCTGAACATTATATCACAGGGGACGCTGGACCAGCTTTCCAGCAGGTGTAGCCCCCCACCAATAGACTGGAGCCCCCTGCAAGACAGGTAGGACTGTATGCTCTTACCTTGACTTCTATCTGTTGTCGCAGGTGGAATTTTGTTAAAAAAGAAAAAAGAAAAAAAAAAGAGGGCTGATCGTCCCTGTGGGACCTTTCCCTTCCATACGATTCAACAGATGAAAAGTAAAAACACAGGCAAGTAGAAACACACTGTTCAGTACCAGTACCTGAGCGGAGGGCTGCCGTTGGTGGAGAACAGCAAAGGCACCAGATTGTCATTGTCATAAAGTGGAGCAGAAGGGATGGCTTAGGGCGAGGGCACTCGACATCTGTTTGGACTGCCATTCATCCAACGGATCCGATCCTGGGTCCCGCGCCTTTCGGCCGTGGCACAGCACTTGGCAACCTGAAGATGGATGGCCGTATATGGTAATAGCACCGTTTCGGTGGTTTCTTGGAACCTTCCGGCAGGCCCGACAAGGGTGCACATCCAAGCATACGCAGTGACTGGCCCAGCAAATGATGTACACCTGGGCGTCCTCCAATTTCACCCCTGTGATCAACGGCACAAACAGGAGATAATGTTAGCCAAAAACAACTCTCTCTCTCTCTCTCTCTCTCTCTCTCTCTCTCTCTCTCTCTCTCTCTCTCTGTGTCTCTGTGTGTGTGTGTGTGTACGTGTGTGTGTGTGTGTGTGCACCAAAACAACGAAAGAATGAGAAAGCTGAATGCATATATGTAGAGGAAAGTAATATAATTGTGTGTGTGTGTGTGTGTGTGTGTGTGTGTTGTCAAGAAGTGCCCACACACCCATCTGCTGCCGAAGTGGCACACAGGGCATACTCACACTAGGCCCTCAAAATCGCAAAATCACAAAATGAGCGGCCAGATCGAGTCCTTGTAAAGGCAGGACTAGATCTGGCCGCTCATTTTGGGATTTTGTGATTTTGAGGGCCTAGTGTGAGTATGCCCTTAAAGAGAGATACATGTGTGTGTGTGTGTGTGTGTGTGTGTGTGTGTGTGTGTGTGTGTGCGTGCGTGCGTGCGTGTGTGTGTGTGTGAGTGGACTGGGGTGAAAGTGAAGCGCCTTGTGGACTACCTCAGCTCACTCCAGCATGGACAGTACTCTCCGCCACCCACTGTACTAAATACCAAGGGCAATGCCCCTCTCCAGACCCCTCACAGGCCTGTCCTCAGACGCCCCTTGCCGTCCAAATTTTCTAATAAGATTCAGTTTGACATTTTTAGCCTACCACAGATAGGTGGTCTACCCAGGTCTTCAAAAAAAAAAAAAAAAAAAAAAAAAAAAAAAAAAAAAAAAA